TGGATCTTTCTTCCCACCAGAATATAAGCAGCACAAGGACAAACTCTTCACCAATTGCATTTGACGCTTGGAAGCACCTGATTTACAAAAGACATTGAAAGAATTAATAGATCCTGTTCTGTCCTAATTTCATTAACATCCATAATATCAACCAAGGGAAGTAGTGATAGCCAACATAAATGAAAACTGTGGAAAAAGAAAGCAAAATTCTACTTAACTCTTATTTTTATTTCTCTATGAAATACACAAATACAGAAAGAAAGTGGTAAGTATTGGAGCAAAGTAGATAATACTTAAAGTTGGTAGGGGTGGCGGGAGGGGAAGGGGAAAGGAAAGAAGGGAAAGGAAAAATTATGAGAAAAGAAAAAAATGGAAATGAATTCTATGTAAATAGGGAAGGATGGAGGGGGTGAAGGGTGTACAGGTAATGGGCAAAAAATAAGAACCAAGATACATCATGTACAGGTACAAGCACCCAATGATAAATGTAAACGTATTGTATACCTAAAATGTACCAATAAAGGAATAAAAAAATAGTTATCCCAAAGCAAAATATTCAATGAGAATGAGATGTATAAATTTAAATCCACCATGAAAATGTAAAATGAAAATTGGTAGCATCTTTTACATAGGGATAAAAATTGAGTTTATATACATATCCTTATAAATCCTACATTAATTTTAACAAACAGGAAAGGCAAATGAATATTTCACAAGGTAGCCTGGTCCTGCTGGGGGATTTTATGTTTTTGATCTCTGAATTGGCAGCTGTACTGAGAGAAAATAAAGGAGAGCCCTTTATTTTTCTCAGTATGGAAAACTTTACCCTCTCACAAAGTCTCAGGACTAGCACTTAAATCATTGCAGCTTCCTATGGCTTAAAATTGCAAAATTCTACCTTTAGACTCAATGCTCAAGAATTATGCCAACCAAGCCCTAGGAAGAGATGAAGGCCAGAAGTTAGGGTGTTTCAACCTCACTACAGTCCAAGTTTAACCATCATCACATACTATTATAGGTAGCTAGCATCATAATCAAATGCAAGGAATACACTAAAAAATCTTTATCATTACTGTATACTTAGGTTATATGACAGATATTCTCTGAAAAGGTAAAAATTACTTAACAATGACTCAGAATTATCATCAGATTGTAGGCTAGATATAGAAAAAGCAAGAGAAAAAATTAAAATAACCATTATTTATTTGTGAGGTTTCTCAAACTTCAAATGTATTTGATTCCAGGGAAAACAGTGTGAGTCTATTCCTAAAAAGGTAGTAATTGCAGAACAATAATGACAAAGGTCTTGGATCTACTGAGATAGCTTTATCTTGATAAATGTGAACTTCTGAGCTTGTACTTTTTATTGCTAACAGGAAAAAAATCAGATTATAGGACCTCTGAAATTTCTACCTGCCCCAATACTAAATTATACCTTAAAATAAATGTTTATCTTCTCTATTTCAATCATGAACTTCCCCATTAATTATCATAAATATGACAATTTGGTGTAGCTCACTCTGTTGTAGTTTTCTGAAATAGCCATATGGCTCTTAGTATTTTTTGTTGTTGTTGTTATTGTTGCTCTGGGGATTGAACTCAGGACCTTGCGCTTTCAAGGCAGGAGTGATGTCACTGAAGTACTTTGTTTTTAAAGTTCTTTGTATAGAACATAGCAAGGTGAACTAATTGTTTATAGGCATGCTTTATGTGAAAAGAGAGGTGCTATCTCATTCAATTTAAGAAACTGTAAAGTGTATATCTGCAGATGAAGAAACTGAGGTTCAGAGAAATTAAGTTCAGAAGTTATATTATTATTTTGATTCTCAGATTGCGAGAAATAAAGCTCTTTTGACCGAAGTCTTAAATTTCTTATTCATGCCAGTTTTCAGATGTCTGAGAGGAACCTTGTTCTTTTGTGTCCTGCTGGTGTGACTGGCATTCAGATGTCTAGGAAGTCACAGTGATGTTGAATAACATATACGTTTCTCTGTTGAAATTTATGTTTACTTCTATCACCACAACTCTCAATTCCACCTGTAAGGCTGTAACTTGAAATATCCTTTCTGGGTTCTGCTTCTTTCTTTTGATAGGGACCCAGGCCACTGGGCAGATGGATCATTAGATGACAAAGAGCAGCAAGTTCCAAATGGAATGCATGGGACTGAGGTCAGTAGCCACATATGGCTCAGTTTGCAACTGAGATTCTAATGCATTTCAATGCCATTTTTAATGGATTTCTATTCTGCATCTACCTCTGAGTCAAAAATATCCTTTGCCAACAAACAATTTCACTTTACTTTCTATTCCTCCCACAAAATGAAAGTAGCATTGATTTATAAAATACTATGATATCTCAGGGCAACCAAGCCCCTTGAATTACTGTAAGAGCTTATATTTCTAATATACTGACAGAAATCATGTGGCTAATTTTTTAAAATCCAGTCACTTAACCATTAATTCAAGTTTTTTAAAATGGCCCTAATTTTTGCTTTTCCTATTAAGACCCAGTCTGCCTCCTGAAAACAAAATGATAGATTTCCCTTTGAAAAACAATAAATACATAAAAATTAAGACTAGAGAAAGCAAAGCAAAACAAAATAATGAGACTAGCTTAGTAAACAAATATGTCAACCATACAAAATGGATGGCCCAAAGCCATCCCATACAAAAAATAAGAAAATAAAACGTATATAAAATAAAAGCACTTCTCTTATATTTTAAGTATTGAAAACAAAGCAATACTGACTGGAGCAAAGAGGATAAAGTTTAGCAGTAAAAAGTTATGACCACCTTTTTTTTTTGGTACTGGGAATCAAACTTGGGACCTTGCGCTGTGAGGCAGGCACCAAAACCACTGAGCTAAATCCCTGGCCCTGACCACCTTTTTAACTCTAAGAGTGAAGTGTCAAAACTGACCAGAAACTTTAATTTCTGGCCAAGAAGCAAGGATTAGATTTACCCTCATCCCCTAATTGGCAAGGAAAAGACAAATGTATGAAACCATTGTCTCCAGAGTGAACAACAGGTAGCAAAGGACAGGATCCCAGAGAAGGGAAACAAAAGCCTTATGATTGATTACACTAGCTTATTGCCTGGGAGGTTGTTCCCGAGCAAAGCTTAGGCAGGTGGAACCCTAAAAGCCCAGAACCCCTGCTAAGTTAAGAAGTCAGGAAACAGACTTCTGAGAAGCCAAGAACTCAGAATTTTCTTGGTGCAGTACTAAATAGGATGAAAACAGAACTCCAGAGATCTGGAATGAGGTCTTAGGCTGCATTCTGATCTGTCATGGATGAAGAATCTCTCCAAAAGCCAAAGAATATAGTACTGGCAAAGAGTAGCTTGACCAGAGAAATAACATCTGCTGGGATTTCAGAGCCACTCTCTAAACAGAGTTAGGATCATTCTTTGATGATAAGGGCAGACATCACCACTTATTCCAGCCATCTCATGACTCAAATTGATGTCAAAGGTACCCTGAGTAAAGGCACAATACATGCCTATTCTATCACAAGACTACCTTCTGCATGGCCCAAGACATTTATACATTCTAGAAAAGTGGACCTGGCTGGGGGGTGGGAGAGGTCTTGTGTGTCTACTTGGGCCCAGATAGGGCAGTATAAGGATCTTGGAGTCTAATGGACTCTACAAGCACTTACTGTGAGCCTTGGAGTTGAAGCAAAGGCACTTAGCAGGTACAGTTGTCATTAGTAGTTTTTGAAAGGGGAGAGTTATCTGTGCTTCTCATGTCCTGCCTCAACCATTTGGCTCTTGCTAGTAGACCCAGGATTATTTCTAACCTTAGCTTTGCATGGTGCTGCAGCGACCATCAAAAAGCCTGGATTACATATCTGTGTCAAGATTCAGACTGTTTTCTGAAAAGAAAATTCCCTAAACCTGGACTTCCAAATCAATACTTTGACACATATCTAAAATAGAGTAAAACAGGGTTTGAACTGAAAACAAACCATTTTTACCACACTCCATCTATCTCATTATTCCTCAAGGTGAATGTCTTTGAGTTTCAAGATTATAGACATGGAAGAAGAAAAACTGGATTTAGCCCATTTGTACAAATCTATTAAGTCATTCTTGGTCAAAATGTAAGTCTATCTTCATTACTTCCAGTCAATTCTTGTTCCATGGTCTACTTTGTCATCTCCCCTTTGTCTTCCAATTTCTGTTCTCTTCCACTTTCCCACTGTGTTCTCAAGGTCTCTTTCTCCCCTCACACTCACCCAACTCTAATTCACCAAATGCAGTCACATAAGTTAGCCTTGCTGCACTGTTCACAGATATGGAGTGGGGGGCCCACACATTTGGATTCAAAGTCTAGTTCTTTCACGAACTGGCTGTGTGACCTTTTGGGAGTGACTTAAGCTCTCTGTGTCTCAGTTACCTTATCTATGAAAGGAAAACATTGACACCATGTGCTTTGTAGAGCTGCTGGAAGGATTATTGAGATAATACTCCTAAAGCTCTCAGCACTGAGCCTGGCACATGACAGGCTTTCAATAAATGTGAGCTATTGTTATTAATAGTCCATCTGTTACTTGAAGTTTTACTTGATGAACCACAAGGTTATAAATGAAAGAGAATTCTGGTACTTATTTTTTTTCAGAAAGGAAAAAATGGATAGGACAGATTCCAAGCTTATGAACTAAAGGGGGGAAAGCACATTATGAAGATGCTAGGATATGAAAAGCTTGAGAATGAAAGCTTTAGCTTTCATTTCCTTGCCCCTCCTCAGAAACATGCAGAGAAAAAGAAAGCTTTAGCATCTTTAAATTCTCAGGCTGAGAATATGGCCTCACTCTGGATGATCAATACCGTACAGGTTCAGAATTACTGTTGACCAAAATTCAATAGAGCCTTTTAAGCCATATCATAATGCAGCAAAACAGCAGCAGCAGAAAAAAAATCATGCAACTTATATTTTAACAGGTTGTGCAAACAGTGAAGAAGCTTGTTATACTGAGGATGAAATGGACTTTACTCACCTGCAGGAGTCTACTTGGCTGATTAAGGTTTGTCCCTTTTGCAAAGTATCAACTGTGCATTCTTTAATTTCTCTGTGTAATGCCTCATGCCTTGCTGCCAAGACAGGCAGACTTAAACCCTCCGATTTAAGGAGCTTAAGGTAAGCTTCAACTCTTCCAAGTACATCAAATGCCTGCCAAAGAAAACATACTTTCATTTTCTGCTCTTCTAGTTTAAAATTTACATCAATGTGTACATGAAACACTAGCAATTAAACCAGGCCATTCAGTTTATTAGTTTGCACATAACAAAAAAATCAATTATCTGAGTCTTAGAAAACAACTGTAGAGTTTTCGGGTTCCATTTGGGGAAACTGTTCACAGGTTAGTTCAGCATAAATAAATGCCAACATCATAAAAGTATCAAGATAGTGTAAATTGAGAATGTATCTATACAACACAAACAGTTCTAAATGTGTGGAATTTGAAGAGTCTGGTTTATATTTTGCACAGTTATGGTGTTTACAAATAATGGATGAGCTATTTAAAAATATCATGCAGTCCTTTATGACCTGAATGTCTCTGTAATAGTCTTAGAAGGAAATTTCTTAATAAACTACACTTTGAACCTGAAATGCTATAGGGAAATATTCAAAATATTATACTGTGCATTTCTTCCATGTCTTTTCAAATATAAGACCTCATCCCACTCAATCCAAGCCATCCATCTGCCTACAGAGATTAGAACTGAGTTCTAAAGCAGTACAAAGAGAAATACCAAGGCAATATTTAATTTCTGACATACAAAATAAGATTATGCAGAAAAATATGTAGACTTGTCAGCCAAGGTACTGTCTTGAGAGAAGATTTTACATTCTTTTATTTTTTTCCTGTATTATCAAACCAACTACTCATCATAGAATATTCAGCTTATAGAGGTAGCATAGAGGATAGGAACTATCCGTCGGCCATTAAGGCTTCCTTTGCCCTAAATAGAGAAATATCTGATATAAAGACAATAAGACAGAATCACGATAATATGGGGGGGGGGACAAAGCTGAGTGCAATGATCTTCCTAGGTATCCTAATCTCTGACATTTAGTATGAAAAGCAGATGAGTTAGGTAAATCGAAGAAAAGCTGAACAGGAAGAAAGCTGTTGCACATTGACCTTCAGCACCATGGGAAGAAGCCACCTTAACAAAAGCTCCGTGCCAGTCTAGAGAATGATCTTACCACAAAAAGCCTGGCACTGCCATTTAGTCAGGTAGGGCCTTTAAAAAGTCTAGCTTTCCTGCGGTGTGGGGTTGGTTCCATTGAGCTTGGCATGGGCCACCAGAATATAGTAGGGGGACCCCATAGAAGACTCTGGGGATCCCAGAAGTGGGAAATGAGAACAGATGGGCTAATGGGTCTGGTTCTACCGAGGCCTGAGAGAGGCTAGGGGAGCAAGGCTGAGCTGACACTCAGGGAACCCAGTGTAAGTAGATGCACCAGTTTAAGTAGATACACCTCCAGCCACGAAGGTGTAAATGCACTCACGTTCCTCACATCTCCATTCTTTCTTAGGGAATGAATTTTAGTAGCAAAATTGAAATTTGCAAGTGAAGTCTCAAATGCTTTTTTATTATATATTGATATACTATTCTACCACCAATGCGCTCATATCTCCCAAGTCCATGGTCTCTAATCACTTAGAATGCTTAAAACAAAGCCATTCTTATTTATTTGGCAGCTCTGAGGGAGTAATGACTACAGTTGAATGAGAACTGACTACATGCTTGCTTCCATACCACGGGTCAGTTACTTCTCATTCAGTCAACAAGTGCTATGGAAAGCCTGCAGCATCCCAAGCACATTATCCTTAACAGTCCTGGGGGGGAGCAAGAAATTATCCATGTTCTACTAACAGGAAAGCAGAGCCTCAGAGAGGTTGAAATAATTGTACAAAGTCCCAGTTCTAAGTGGCAAATTTGGGATTCATTCCCAACTTGGCCACGAGGTGTGCAGCTTTAAACCTTGGGTTATGATTTCATGTGGCAAAGAATTACTATGGGAGATTTAAGAAAGAAGGATTATTTCAGAAAAGCTTGTTATCTTGGATGGAAAAGGTAGTGTTTTAAAAGTTACTTTTTCTAAGATTTTCCTTCGTATAGGTGAGAAGAGATACAGAAAAAAGGTGAAAGGTTGATATAGAGAAAGATGCAGAGAAAATGTTCTCTCATAGGCCTGCAAAAGAAAGCAAGCTTTTAAGAGAAACTTTGAACCTAAAGAATGCTTTCTTATTTGATCCTTTTTCTTTCTTATAGACGACAATGGAGCCAAATGCAATGAGAAACTTAATGGTTAAAAAAAAGGTGATGGGACAGTCCTCTGGGTTCTTCTCTCACTCATGGAAGCCTCATGTGGCAATAACCACTGCTTTGAGAATTTTGTTTTATATTTTAAAATTTGCATTACATATTTTGAATAAAGTAGAGCTTCTTGCTAATTGAAGGCTACAAAGTCAAAGCCTAAAGCAAGAATCTGAACTCCCTGTAAAGCAAATTGAGCACCTTTAAATCATCCTTAAAGTATTAAGATAGGTGACTTAGTGCTTATATAACACATTATTCACATTTAGGAATGAGAAATCCTGAGCTACACTAAAGGAAGAAATAAAAGGAACATCTAGGTGTCAGACTGTTCTCTCTTTTCTTCCTTTAAAATAGTCCTCAAGATCCTAGGATGAAGGGGAAAAGAATAGAGAAACCTGAAGTGCTTTTTCTTGCCTGTAAGTTGAGCTCCATTGTGTTTTACTGTTAAACCATTATAATCTTCATATATGTCATGTTTGTTGTTTTGAGAATTAAAAAAGAAAAAATATGAAAGTAACTAGGTATGGTGGTAGACACGCAACAGGTGCTCAGAAAATATTTGGTGGCTATTATTCTAAATCTCGACTGATGATTGAATACATCTTTCAAAAGTCACCTAGAAGGCTGTGGCCACCTGCTGCCTGGCATTCATCCCACGGGGCTTTTTCTCTTGTGACCTCACTGAACAGCTGTCACTCGCTGACCCTCAAGCCTTGGTCTCATCTTCATAGGAGTTAGGTGCTAAAGCCACAAGGTCATTACATCCATGTGAGATGTCACCCTATCTCATTCCTGAAAGCTAGAATATAAGCATTATCTTCTAATAGGATAAAATAAATTGAAGGGCCAAACAATCAGTAGAAGAAGGATGTTACATACCATGGACAAAGACAACCCATAACTTGGAATCAAATTAGCCAAAATTTCTTCCAAAGATTTTTCTCTAGTAGGTCAAAATGTTAGCAAAAGCATATAGTAATGAATTGCTCAGAGTATCACACTTATTAGAACCATGGCTTAGAAAGGAGATGAGTGGTTCATTCCTTCATTAGCTCACCAAATGCATGTGTAGAATTCCGGCAGGTTAGGTAGGCTGGATGCCATAGGAGAGATTTTTCTTCAATCTTAATCCTAACTGAACCCTAATGGGAATAAATTGTAGACTCCGAAATAAAAGCTAACACCTAGACTTTACGAGGAAGCCTTTTCAAGATTTTACTGCCTGTGATTGTCTGGATTATATGCAGTGTTCCTTACTCTTATTCCCATGTAGAATATGATGAGGAATCTATGTGACCATTCTAGAACCGGTCTGAGTATCATTGCTCTCACTTAACCCCCAAAATAGAACAGAGCGCTTTTCTGTTTATTTCGCCCATCGGGGAGGTGATAGACAGGATCCAGCAGTGAAAGAATCTCTTTGTTGCACGTACCATACAGCACAGGTTATTCCTGGCAATAAGAACATGGTGACCTCCACATAAACTCCTTTGGATTTAATATTTCCCCTTTAGTTTTTCTCTTCACAACTCCTTCTTTTTTCAAACTTCATATGTGCAGGTCAAATAAATCTTTTATGATTGGATTGGGAAAAAAAGGACACAGGTACAAGATGATATTTTCTCCTGCTGGGTTCTAGCTCTTCTTGAGTATTTCATATGGAACGACTCAGTTGCTCGCACATAAGGAGGAAACGGCATCCACTGTTTTGCCCCTAATTTGGAATAGACTAAGGAGTTGCTTGATTTTTTTTCTCTAAGAGGCTATTAAAAACTTTTCCTTTTTCCCTTGGTAAGTACAGGTCCAAGGCAGGCTGTACCACATAAATAGAGATGGTATCAGAACAGGGCACATTTTATTCTTTTTTAAATGTCTACAAGACTAACAATGTCAGCAAGAACCAGGAGTCATTCAGCACAATTCTTACATCCTGCCATTTCACAAAGATGCTCAATGAGTGATACTGTTAGTTTTTCAACTAATTTGAAAAGAGTCAGTATTAAATAACAACAATCACAGAACAAAACTACAGAATCTTGAAAATAATCCAGGACAGAAAACTTAACTTAGCTTCTAATTGGATCACTTGATTTCCCCACCTGTGGAAATTCAGTCTTTTATCAAGACTGAAAGTTTCAGTGTCCTTTCCTAAACATCACCCCAGATTTCTGGTGGCTCCCAATCTGAAGAGCTGATTCTTAACTCAGGTTCTGGCCAAAGCTGTTCTAGCTTTCAAATCCATGAAGGCTGGGGCCAAAGATGATGATGGTCAGCTCCTAAATTCCTGCCCCTGTGGCTGTTCCTGCCTATTCCTCGCCTCTTAAAGGTTGGTGCCAGTGGGCCTGGGACTCTCCCTTGTTAGAAGAGGATTCATGGTGCTGAAAACAAGGGTTTTAAGCCATTAGTTCCTGATGCAGGTTTTGCCTCAGAACCTGAAAAGCTGAAAACAAATGGAAAAGGAGGAGTTTTAGGTTAAAAGTGGCATATATCTAAAGCATTTTTTTAAACAAAGAATGGAGGAAGTTTATGTATTGACCATCTCTTATATCTGGGCAGATGCAGCTTTGAAATGAAAATTCAACACCTTAAGTAGAACATTAGGTTGCTCAGCTATTTTCTGCAATAATTTTCTGGGTGTTTTTTTAATAAATAGACCTAAATAATTTTTAGGATCATCTTGAGAATATCAGTATGGAAAATATCTACTTACAATGTGTAAAACATTCATTTTTTTCATTTATTCAAAAAATATTTATTAAAATTCATAAGCCATGTACTCAGCTCCATGCTGGGGATATGAAAAGGAACAAAAGCATTTAAGTCACATTAGAGTGGCTA